TAAGCTGGAAAGGAGGGGGACATGAGGGCGGGGGGTGGCCGATCGAAGAGGCCAGACGGGCAAGGGTAGCAAAGATGACACTCAGTTCTGCACTGAGGGAACACCAGAAATGTTCATGTGAGAAGAGGAAATGCTAAGGAAAGAACAAAAAGGGACAAAATTTAGCTGAAATTTCCACGCAGACCTGCTAAAATGAGTTTAAAACGATTGAAACATTGAGAGTTACACGAAAAAGTGAATAAGTCAATGCAAAAAGCTAAAAATGCGGGAATACACAAAAAGTGTAGAACAGACGGGGTAGCGTAGAGAGGAAGCAGGAGTAAGCGGCATAAAATAAGAGGGGCGAATTCTCCCTCATCCCATCCTTCCGCCTCCCTCGTGGCTTTCCTCCTGCCCGACACATTTTACTCATTGTTCTTTAAAACAGATGTGCATAAGGCTTTATACTAGAAATACGAGCATGTGTGTGTGTGTGTGTGTGTGGTTACCTCCAAGAAGAAGTGAGAAACAACAAGGCTAGGGGGAACAATAAACTGCACGCAGACAAGCTTTTCCAATATAACGGGAATCAAGAAAAGCAATATTTTGTAAGTAGCTTATGGAACTGAGAGCAATACAAGAATCAAAAATGCACAAGAGATATCCGGAAGCACAAAGAAGTTCAATTCTCACATTTCACCGATTAGACTTTTACCTTTTTACTGTTTTGCTTCCATAGATGCGTAACGGATTCACCTTCCTCAACGAACACTAGCCCCATTTTTATTGAAAAAGGAAAAGAATTTTCATTCTATTTTACCGGGTGACAGAATGTAAAACCGCAAAAAATGCACTGGATTAAATCATAATTGCAGGCGGGTAGTAAGTGCAACTGACACTTGAGAACACACACACAGTAAACATTTCCTTACGGAAGAGAAAATTTGTGCGTGGAAAGTTTACGTGAAAAAAGCCTCGGCGGGCACTACTCTCACACGGAAGGTTGACTCGCAGTGAAGAAAACTAATCTGCCGATGGCCCGTCCATTCGTCTGGATAGCAAACTCGCACTGGCTCATCACAGCGAGGCGATACCGCCACCAGACAGAATGGAAGCAGCCATCAGAAGAACGAGTGATCGACAATTCCGTCAACAAATGCTTCCACAATTACTCCCACCAGCCTTTCATACAGGAGTGAATAGTGGCCCAGATTTTCTTGCTTTTTTTTGCCCCGAAAAATAGTCGCCATATGCGTGGCTCTGAGTACAGTTTCGAATAGCGCCGGATCAAAAATGCAGCAGCTTTTTTTGCGCAGTACAACTCTACCAACGGCTAAGGGATGTAGTGAAGGAGCGTAAGAGGCTACGGAGCAAGCTGAAAGACCGCGCAGACATTCAGCAGTTCTCCCGGAACAGCGAGGAAAGAAAGGAGAGGAACAAAAGCCACGATCGTTTACAGGTAGATTGATCACCAAACGATGCACTTCCGGCCAACGAACCCGGAAGAGTTCCCAGCTGTGATGAAGATGCAAAACTGTGCCCTCACAAACGGCATCAGCTGGCAAAAGTAACAAACCAGCACCTGCTCTCAAGAGCTGCTGATTTTTTCCCTAGATCTATTCAAAACACAAGAAATAAGATTTAAAAATGACAAACAGTAGCATCGTTTCGGAGAAGCGGACGGAAGAGAATGCAAATAAGGCAGACTGAACACAGAAGGAAGCCTGAAAACTGTTATACAACATAAAACCGGATGGAACCTTCGCATAAATGCTGAGGTCTCAAAGTCGCTGACACATGGTCCAGCAGCAAACTGAATGCATTGTCCAATTGATGAAGCGCTATAGAAGCGTACAGTTTCGATTTTTTCCAGCTGGCTTAGGAGTTATCACCGCTCGAACAGCTTCTTCGAATACCTGAAAATCGATATTACTGTACTGCATAAGCAAAACTAGTGGCTAAAAAAAAAATTACATTCTCCAACTAAAAACTCATCAGCAGCATGAAGCAAGAGAAGTTTTTATCAAACATAAACAGAATTAAAGTGGCCGTGCCTCTGTAATCCTACTATGTTGAAGAGGAAGAGAGAGAGAGAGGCAATAAGGGAGTGAATAACACAGTTCAAATGCTGACTTGTAATCACACAAGCATCAAACTGCAGTCTCACAAGAAAGAGGAAGGCAGGACAGAGTGCTCACCGTTGTTGACAATCGCTGGA